TAATAATTGCACCCCATTCATAACCATCTTGGATTCTTTTCTTTTATTAAGTCGCCAAAGTGCTAAAAAAACAAAAACATATAGCCTATGTTATGGTTAATAGCTAAAGATCTGTGAGAGATCTGCGATAGGTCTAATAATAGGCCCAGTGTAATGTATTATTTGTAGATCCTATGAGCAGACACTTTTATTTCATCGGAGTCATGACTTCTTTTTTTTTTTTTTTACTATTTGAGGACTGCAGTCCCAAACCATTATGGAACAAGTCAATTTGGGCGAGTTAACAAAGGAGTAGGCTTTTGGCTAAATATAGTAGACAAAGCTTACTTATATTAATATAGGCTACTGAAATTTGAGCAAGCTGGTGATAAGGCACGCCCCGCTCCAAATAGTTTAGACTATTCGCTGACAAAAAATCTCGATCTCTTTCTTATTCTTTATCACGTATGATCATATTTGCATAATAAGAGTCATCGAAACTCTGCTCTTTCCGTCTTTGCTGTTGCAGGTCAAGATAAAAAAGCTCCCAGGCCGGTGTGACCCGGCTGCGCACGGCGTGCCACACCTGTCCTTAGGCAGGCAGGTAAGGCCAAAGCCCCGCCCACTTCCAGGTTTCAGTCAGACTTGTTTTTTAAGACCAGGTGTTGCTGTCAAAACTCATACGCTCTTGTCTAAATTACTACACTGACTTCAGGAGTAAGAACAAACACACCAACAGCAGCAATCATGCCGAGGCAATCAAATCAGGAGTGGGTCCGGTTATCCATGCGCACCCCGGGCATCCTGATCTTCGGGATGGTTTTCGCTCCCTGCGGCTTGCTCCTGGACCTGATCGCCACCGTGGCCCCAAACTGGAGGACCCTCAACAACCTACCCAACAACCCGAGCACCCAGTACATCGAGCAAGGCATCTGGGACATCTGCAGTGCCAGCACAGTCAGCACGCAAGTGACGTGCAACCAGCAGGACACTCTATATTTCAACAACCAGATCATCCCGATCGCCAAGGGCTTGATGGTGGCCTCTCTCATCGTGACTGTAATCGGGCTCTGCGTAGCCATCCCTGGGGTCCGCTGCTGGAAAGACAGACCTAACTGGATAGTGGCCGGCCTTGGCGGAATTTTGATATTCCTCTCAGGCGTCATGACCATCATTCCCATCGCCTGGTACACCCATATCCTAACCAACATCTCAACAGTGACCTCGCAAACAAATGTGCAGGTCGGCTACTGTATCGTCCTGGGCTACATCGGCGGGATATTTGAGATCTTGGGCGGGTTCGTCATGTTCATCGGGATCTGCCGTTGCTGCGGAGGTAAGAACCGAGGGGAGACTCGGGTTGAAGAGCTCACGAGCGGCCGGTTCAACCACCAGAAGGCGCCGCCGAGACGAGTAGAAGTGCCAAACATTAACCGGGCCAGGAGCCCCGCCAGGAGCACCGCCAGCAGCAGCGTAGCATACTCCAGGGACTCCATGGATGATGATGTGTCTTTCCCCCGGGCCAAGAGCCCCGCACCCCGGACAGTCAACCCGGGCTACAGCAGAAGACCCTATGATGTCGACCTATGAGAGGAACATGGCCCAAATCTGGAGACTCAAAACCCCACAGGAGAGGAAAACGACTTGGAGATAACAAAAGGGACAGAGTGGAAATTATTATAGGAAGAAGCTGTAAGATTCAAGAGAGTACTGTAGTAACAACAGGAGATCGGAGTCACCTCATTTATAGTTGATGTAGAATTATTTTGAGGCCATAAAGGAATATTTCTGTGGTACCAAGAGATCAAATACATTAAATATTATGAAATTACTGTAAACTCACTATTAAGCAAAGCAGAATCATTTAAACGCTTCTTTGGATATTATTGTGTTTCATCATTGGGTCAGTAATACCTGAAGGCATACATCTAAAATAGTGTGTAATGATGTGTGAGTGACAGAGCCATGGGGGACAGGTGAGATTCATCATGGGCTAAGATGGGTTATGTTTAATGCTAACATCATTATAATACATTTTAGGTGTAGGCCTCAACCAGTTATCGTCATATAGGTAACGGTGAGATTAATATTATAATGTGAGAAAATGAAAGGAAGTGCGGAATTCTGTATTATTGTGAGAAAAATGATATTGAGTTGAAGTTTACTGTGGCTGTCTTTTACATAATGCGAATTACACTGAACTCAGTTTATAAATAGTTCCCATCTTTAAGGAAGGTTGTTTTGCATTTTCTTTCTGTGTACAGTATTTTTTGTTAAATGTAAATTCTGCATTCTAATGCACTTTACAAATAAAGCCAACCTTGTAAGATAACAGGCCACATGAGGTGATCAAATATCTTCTAAATGATCTGTGACACAAGAGCTGTTTATTAAATGTGCACTGTGTTTCCTAATAACAACAGATGACTGAGTCCCTTTCCACAGCCTTACTCTTTTTGTGTAAGTGTAAGTGTAAGCATAGCTGTGGTTATGATGACAATGCAGTGATGTTTTTGATGTAACATTATTGTAAAAAGCAGGAGTCTCTGCTGAGAGGGTCGCATAAGAAATAAAGAAAGGGAAGAAGTCATTATGGACACTAATCAAAGACACATACAGACAGGCTTCATTTTACAGGGATATGTTCCTTTCTTTTCCTCCCTGTCTGCTCAGTAAAAACCATAAGCATACAGACAATGTAGCCTGACCGGTCTGAGTGGTTGTTTTCTTAACGCATGTTGTCTGACAACATTACCTTCTATGTTTAAACTGGGTGAACATCTCAAACAAGGCGGCGCTTCACTGCTGGCGTTCTTAAATTGGCCTTAAACAAATCACAATGCAGTTCTCCCCGCAGGACCCTGTTGAATGCCACAGCCAGAATTAGACGTGGAGTTTGGCACTTTTCAAAGCAAAGGTTAGCAAAGCAAGGTGCTGCCATAATGAGTGGATCAGCTCCTACAGCTGTAAAAACAGGAATGGAAAGTAGAAAATCTTTATATAGAAATACTGTACCGTTATTGTACTTAAAACAAGGCAACAAAACCAACAACCACTCAGAGTAATAGTTTCTCAATGGACAGCTGAAATGGAAAATGCTGCTGACTGACTGGGCCATAATATGAGAATGCTTTTTAATAATTCTTCCATTTTCAAGTTGACTAAGCAGGATAATTGAAAATCATAAAAAAAAATTTTGTAATGTTTTTGGATCAGAAATACACCTTAAAGCTGCCAATTAGGCCCTGCTTCATTGAAGGGCAATCATAAGAATTCATGAGGCTTTGTCTTGCCCTCTTCAGTCCCACTTCCTCTGATTTTACTATGCTATTAGACAATGAAGCTCTTTGACAGCGATAATGCTTTTGTGGTTGGGATGCAGGGCTCCTGACACTTTAATTTCATTATGTTATATTGTTGCTTTTTGTCTTGTAAAATACAAAAAATGTTTAGGCTTCTCCTGATAATAATTCAGTTAGTATAGAGTATATATTAAAATTTATATTCACATTTACCATAAATGCAGGGTAAATAATGTCAATAATAAGACAGGTGCTGTTAATATTAATCAAATTCTTCATTCTCATGGTAACGATAACAGATCCAACAAGTCAAATTTACTGGCATCTGTAATAGAGCTGATTTCTGAAAGAGGGTTTCAAGATGTGTCGTCACACAACTGTCCATAAAATTGCCACACAGAAAGCACTGACTCATAAAACGATAGTCTAAGATAGGTGGGGTAAGGATAGATGTCACGTTTAAAGATGTGATAAAAGACTGTACATTCTGTAACGCAAGCTTTCCTCCGAGTCCAACTGAGATACCCCCTATATTAGAAAGCTCCTCCGCATCCACAGAACACATATCCTAATACAACTCTTTTCATAGGCACGTAGCACTCCCCATGGCTATTAAGCCTACTATTATGTATGTAATCAGTGGCGTTCCCCTTTAATAAACAAACATTTAACATACCACCAACTTTTATAGTACTACAGTTTATTTTGCGATTATTTCAATGTGCTCCTCCTTCTGTGAACATGCAATGTCTGCTCAATAATAGTAAAGCAGGTGTTCACATGGTGTCACCCTCATGGCAGATCCTTCCTGCAGATAGCCTACATATTTTCTCAAATAACAAAAGACTGTGAGCTGGTCAGCCTGCATAGTTATAGATCTCAGTCTCGGTCCCCTTTGAGTTTACAAAGCATTGACGCTGATACCAACCTGTCACTGGATCCCAGAAAGTGCTTAAACAGGCAGCAGTGTATGTTTTGGTGTGCACACAACACACACAGAGGCAGACAGCTGTTTTCAGTGTTAATACACATTGACACCAAGGATCAAAACAACTTAGCAATGATTTTAAAGTGTCAGAGCCATTACTTTGTAGCATTATTATTATGATAACACAAAAGATACTATTAAACAACATTTTCTGTGTAACAAGCTAGTGATTTGACTTGACTGTAAATAGTAAACAGCTAAATAAAGTGCTATAGCTGTTCTTGCCTTGTCTTGTGTAAAAAAAGTGCTTGCTTGCCTGCTAATCTCTGTGGGCAGAGACAGAGGAGGAAGACACTGGGTGCCTTTCATGCAGCCCAGTGCATAAAGTAACTCGTCAATGTCACTCTTTGTGAACAGATGAATCACAGCTTGGATGGGGTGGGACATTTAAAAAAAAAAAGGTTGACAGCCAGGTGTCATTCAGCCTACACTGGGGATGCTGAGGACATGTCAGAATCAGAATTTTAAAAAAATGCTTGCAACAAAATAACTCCAGTAATAAATAAGTAAAATGCTTTGAGAAAGGGTTTGTCTGCACAATGAGAAAACATGCAATGCAATTTAAACATTAAGCTAAAACAAAAAATAAGCTTCTGATTACTACATTATATTTTTATATTTTGAATTTTCACCTGCCATCTCCACCATAAATTGGTGCAGAAAATGTTTCCAGAATGCAGCATGTGAAAGGAAAGTACTGACTGACTTCAGGCACTATGTAAAACATTGACTTGTTGGGCTTTTTGTACATTTTATTTGAAAGTTAGTGAACATTATACATCATATACAGTAGAATTACAAAAGTGAACTAAACTCATTAAACAGTGTGCACTAACTGGACTGATTCAGACAGTGACTTTGTAATTAAAAAGTACACATGCCAATGAAATAGCTCACAACACGACTGACAAATCTGTACATCCCCAGACAGGTTGTTCCACATTTGCAAAGCTAGTCCTGTACAGAGTTGAAATGACAACATAATGCAAAAAACAAAACTTGTTATTTTATCTTAAGTAAAAAGCAGCAGTTGCTAGTAAATATTCAGCACCAACCAGCAGTAGCCATTTTAACACAAGCAACTACATATAAAACCAAAAGCTATTTAGATAGATCAATCAAACCAAAAGACAATAAAATCAGTTTATGTTTTAAACTGCACTTTGCCAACATATACAACAGGAGAGGAATTTAGAAAATGAAGAAAAACAGGATCTGCGAAGGTGTGACATTTAAGTTTCGGGTGGTTGACATAGTTCTTTCTCCAGTGGAAAAAAGAACTTTGTGTTCTTTTTCTATATTTACAGAAAGAACTGGGTCTCATTTATAACAAGAGACATAATATGCATGAAACAAAGTGCACAATGTGGAGAAAAGACTCTGGATATACAACTGCTTTTGCAGACTTAAGTCTGTTATTGCTTTTTTTCCAAAACATGGGGATCCATTCAGTCAGATTTCAAATCTCAATTTGCAGATTACCTTTAATAACAAATTACCCCTTTTGCTTTTATTCAGACAGAAAAAAAGAGAAAGGATATGAAATGCTTTTATGTTATTGCACCAAGTGCAAAAATGTTTTAATCTTTATGACAGCAACTGAATAAAACCCCATCATGCTGGTTAGAGTGCATCCTGTCCTCATCACGAGGTAATGACAAATCAAATCTGGTTAGAATTCCAGGCCTACTCTATTTAAAATGAACTACGGTGCCAACATCTGATGCTCTTCCGCTTTTGGTCTTCAACACTGCATGAACTCTTTCAGTGTTAAGTACAAAGAACACAGCAGAACAACTCACTAGCACTATAGCAGTCACCTGTGCTGTCTCTGTATTTAAAGGGAGCCACTGCTCCGTCAAAGAGAGTAGCTGATAGTAAAACATTTGCATTATTTCACTAAATGTAGCCAGTGTTAGGAGACTTATCTATGGAAACATTTTCCATGCAGGAAATGTGATCAAGGAAGTAGCTTTTGATTGGCAGTATAGACCGGTCCTGACATTTCTCACTGTCAACATCATCTTCAGTGTGTGGATAGCACCAACAACACCAAAATGTATTTACCTACTGTTGGGATTGATGGTTGAATTTTTTGTTTGTTGGTCATTAGCACAGGATAGCCACACTCATCTTAATTCTATAAATAACGCTATGTATATTAAAGCAAACAAACAAATTTGCCCTCGATGAATCATGTGTTCGGGGATGTACTAAAAATGTAATTTTTCCATCATCAAATCACATACGATGCATATCATTACAGTGTTGGTGTGTCCCTGTTAAAGCGCCGTTCATCAGTTCACTGTCACTCAGTTTCTGGGATGCTGCAACATCTCCGCCGTAGATTCTTTGCCACGAGGCAGCCAACCTGCCATGTGATTCCCTTTTTACAAAATTCTCTCTCTCTCTCGCGGATAGAAGCTCAAGTGTGTCACGGGCCAGAATGTCGTGGTTGACCTGGATGGGAATGACAGAGTCATTATTTTTATGTATGTGTGTGTCTCAATTATGGCGACAGAAAGGTTTCTGGCCTCCACATTTATATACGGATTTAAGTCGTCTGAGTTAAAGGCACCCCGTGGAGTTCTTGATCACTAGCAGTGCTATGGAGCAATGTTACTTTTCTTCATAACAGCGTGTACATGCTGGCAGTGCGATTCACATCCTGCCTTTACACAGACAGTTGGTGGCAGTAACGCATCTATAAACGTAGCAATGTGCAAACAATGGCAGTGAAAAAGAAGACTGCTAGCAAGCAAATGTGGATGTAAACAATGTGGGAATTCTAATATAAATGGAAATGAAGCTCAGCATAAGTTTAACCAGGAAGACTGTCCTTATGCATCATTCATTCACAACACTCTTTCATTCACTCACTTTTTCTCCCTGCCCCTACCAGCGTTCTCACCTGGTTTTCCAATCAGGTGTCACCACTATCAGCTCAGCCAATCATGAAGTCACCATCACACTTTAAATCTGTTCTCTCCTCTGCTGACAGCTGTCATTTCAGCACGAATCTCTGCAGCCCTCCTCAACCCCATTCACCTCCTGCTCACCAGATCCAGGCCCAGTTCAGCTTAGCAGAAGCCCTCCCTTCTTCTCATTCAGATCCCCAGCATCTTCTTCACCCCTTCATCTCACCACCATGTATCACATGTCAAATGATTCTCCCCTAAGTCTCTCCTGATTGAAATACACTAGCACGTGTGTAAGATGGAAAGGTTACACACGATGCGCTTTAGTGAGAAACACTGAATGTAAACATAACTTTTGTTGGTGTACAAGAAACCTCCACAGGACCCCTTTAACTATGGAAGTTCCAGGAGTTAGTTTGTTACATGATATTTGTTAGTAATGTATTTTTGGAGGAGAATGTTTTTCTTAATTAAGATACTTTTACACACTTTACATTCTGTATTTCATACAGATACCTATACTCAAATTTGATGCTCCGCTAATAATACTCTTTGCCAAAATGGAAAGCATTTTGGAAATGAATATTTCCAACCAAATGCCTACCTCAGATCTAATCGTAGATTTATCCACATTACACGACAACGTTGTAGCCATGTTTTGCTGCCAGATGTCTCCTGTGGACGACACACAAAAATACACAATTAATTTGTGAAGATTTTCTCATCTTATGTTCATTATGAAACCCTTATTATTAGTAAAGGATGACAAAATCTTTATTTTCTGTGTATTTATATTTTTGGATCCTATGGTGAAGTTTCACTTGCTCTTTTCTGAGTAGCAACCAAAAACTCTAAAGCTCACTAATTAACATGTTACCAATTTGTTTTTTAACCTGTACATAAACAGAAATGTAAAAACAACAATTTGCAATTTTAGAGGAAGTTATGGGCTGGAACTTGACAATCATCTATTCAGGCATACGCTTAGTACTTACAGTATACAGCATTCTCCGGCTATAGCGTGGGTTACCAGATAGGTCAAAACTCACAGCAATAATGGTTAAGTTCGGTGGTCTGCAGCTGGTTGCCTGTGAGGCCTCCGGCTGCCCCCGACTAAGGATTTACATAGTCGAATCAGAATTGTCAAGTCTTGCCTATACTCGACTGATAGTTGAAGCATGTGTGTTTGTGTGCGGCGATTGGGAGGGGGAGGTTACACACGGTAGCTCCGCCTTAATCTTTAGAAGCTGCAGACTTGATTCATTAGTCAGTATAACTTACGCTTCACATTTCCAGCTAAATTGAGGCTTGTTGTTGACACTTTTCTCTCTGCAGAGTAGCCTACTATTATATACTATAATATTCTTTTTGTGGTTCATTAATGGTGAGAAATGATCCGAACGTTCCGCGAGGCAGCACTGGTGAAGCTGTGGCTCCGTCTCTTCAGCAAGTGTTCCTCTACTGCAACTACACACACGCTACACCGACACATGCACACTGACCCCCGTAACTTAAGGGGTTAGAGGTACAAATTTGGATTTTTTCCCCAGACTTTAAAAACATTAAAAGCTTTTTTCTTTTCAAAGGTTTATTTACAGCATTATATGTTGAAATGTATATTGTAATAGGCTGAATATTAACTTATTGGGAGAAGACTGGTAGTAAAAACAGACGTTGAGCACCCCCCATTGCCAAAATGGCATGATCCTCGTTTCGCTGCGAAGCTTCAACTGTGAAATTGACAGTTGAAGCAGGCTCCGCCCATCAAGCATCAATCCTTCGACTATTCGGGGTCAGCCCTAGTGTGGCCATTGGAACTGAAGTGATATTACAGACTATTTTCCTGCCTGACCACACAAATTAATACATTTTTTATTTAAAATATAGGTTGTTGTAGTGTTACTTTCGTCAGACGAAACTATAAATTTGTCAATGACCTTTTTTCCCCCTAATGAAAATGAGACAAAGCCGAGACAGCGATGTCCTTAGTGTGACTGGATTAACATGCAATATTGTTGACGAAAATATGAATTTTATGTAATTCATAAAATAAAAACAAATAAAATCTCTCTTTTTGTTAGTATAATGAGGAGACAATAGCCTATTACAGGCTATATTTTCTCCCTCTAAATTTTCACTTGAACAGTGTTCATTCATTTTCTTTCTGTGCTTTGAATGCTGGCTGACCGGGGTGATGCCTGGTGTGTGAGATAAACATTACTGTGGATGATGAACACAACATGCTAGGGAGAAAGAGGTGTTTAGATATCAGCTCCCCTACAAAGCAGTATTTGTGATATTTTGGCGAGTCTCTGCTTTATTGCCATTAATCTCTATAATTTCTTTGTCATGGATCATGCGGAGCGCCAGACTTCATCCAGCCAGAGGGAACTATCACCCGCCCTCCGATCTCCCTGGTCCGCCCCACTCCCTCTCCGGTACGGATTGTGTCGCTAGTACGACCGACACGCTGTGAACAGTTCGTGATTGTTCCCTCTGGCTCGATGAATATTACGTATGATCCACGTAGGCCTACTGCTGCAGCTGGGGGCAGCAGCGCTGTGTTCTTCCCTCTCACGGAGAAAAGAAAGGTCAGGTTGCAAACTGACTGATATCATTTTTCTCATCTCGCTCTCATAAAGAAAACAAATAAGCATTTTTCCCCCAAAAGGTTGAATTATTCCCTGAAAAACAACAAATGGAGAAGCTCTAAAAATTTCAGCACCTGTGCTTTTTCTTTCGCTTCCGTCTTATCTTGGCTAAGATGAAAGCCAGGCTCACCAGCCCGATGACAACGACCAGCACACTCAAGGTCAGCGGTACGCTTAATGACCCATTGACCGTTTCCTCGCAGGATTCGCCCCGGTAGCCCAGTTTACAGTCGCACACCAAATCGACACCGCCACCAGGGGGAGCCACACACACACCGTGGTCATTACACTTAATCGCTCCACAGGTGGGAAGGCTGCTACTTGGTTGGGGAGAAGGGAAATAGGTGGACATCGTAGAGGAGGGAGGAAACACTGGAAAATTAGGCGGGGAGTGATAAGTGGAAGGAGAACAGGAGAGAGATGAATATAAGGAAGCCACACCCTGAAACACAAAAAAAGGAAACATCACAAAGACATAGGCTTTTCTGTCAGGCTTTTCAATGATTATTTTCGGCAAGGAAAAACACTAGTATTAAGATAAAGTTAAAGTTCAATTCATCACATTTCATGACCATCTTTCTCTCCTCACCTGGTGACAAGTTTTTGTTTAATCATAGGTCATTAGCACAGGATAGCCAGAGTAACTCATCGAAATTCTATGAATAACACTGAATATTAAAGCACACAAACACATTTGCTCTTGATCAATCATGTGTTTGTGGATATAATTTAAAGTTATATCTTATATAATAACAAAAAACATCATTACTGCAGTGAAGTTGTGTCACTGTAAACTCGGTTAAAGCTCTTTTCATCAGTTCATTGTTATTGTGAGTCGTAGCCACAGCCAGCCAACAACTTGGTAAACATATGACAGGGACAGAAATTGTCATGATCCACAGTTGTTGAGATGTGATGTTTTTGATGTGCAAACAATTTTCGCTGCCAACACACAGGATGTCCGCTGGCAGAATGAGCTGCTTGTTGTGTGGCGTCTCGCCCTAAAACTTATTTTACTTTTAAAAGTCATGATAGCCAAACTGCAGGAACGCAATAGCGCAGGAAACAATTTGAAGGACTGCACATCTTGCTTTAAGAGACAAAATGTGACCCCCTTGAAAATGAGATGCTGCATCTTAAGGCGCCATCCTTCAATAAATTCAAAATATCTGCAGCAGCTTTTCTGCTCTCCACATGAGAAACACAAGAAAGTACTCTTCCTAACAACTCCTGTTTCATCATCAACAACCAGCGGGCTTACAGAGACTGACTCAGGATATAGAATAAATGCATGTAAGGACACAGAATGATCTAACTGAATGTAAAACACTGAACACAACAAAGCATCATTTGAACAGTGCAGTACACATTCACTAACGTACTTGATTCATAAAAGAGTCAGACAAAATTATGTTAATGTGCCTGCAGTTTCTACTTTAGGTTCTCAATACATGAATGAAATCAAGAGCACATTCTGAAATCCAGTTGGAGCCACAACAGATAGACCTAAGACATTAAGTTGACTGCTAAACACAGTGTTGCATCACAGCCTCATATGCAATAAATGCAATGGTGTGCGAGATTTTAGAGACAAGACTGACCATTATTCAAAATCCTACAGAGTGGCAGGTTAACTCAAAGAACTGTTGGTGACGTTATTTTACTTGTCATTCAGATTTCCCACCGACACAGCAAGATTGTGTCCAACACTGGCTTCAAGGCATGCATTAAGTGTAGTGAAATAGCACAGCAATATATCAAAATATGGGAAAATGAAAAACATACTCACACAAGCGAAGAATGCAGACCTGGCGTCTTAAAATGCAGATAGTGGACTTAAAATTTTTGTTGCTGAGTCATCAGGTGTATCCGTGTGTGCGCCAAAGGTCCTTGGACTTTGGAAAAGAGTTTGAAGTTCCTTGTCCAGCGAGGGAATCTCCAAAAAAAAGGAAGGAGGGAAGAGGAAAAAAGCAGAGCCCTGAAAATACCTGCCTGTTTTTTTCCCCTCACACATACACACATAACATCTCCTGCTCCTCCTCCCTCCACCTTTTCACTGAATGGGCTGAGTCATATACATACTTGCCAAAATGGAAAGAGAAGGTGCTGTTAGAACAAGACTCAGCTGTAAAGACCTGACAAGACTGACATATCTGTGTGACATAGATTAATCAATTCATACATCTGTTGTGTAATTGTAAGAAAGTCTTATAAATGGATTTTTAGGCCTCTAAGGGAAATAATAATTAGCATATGTTACCATGCTAACATATGTTAAAGTAAGATAGTGAACATGGTAAACATTACACTTGCTTACAAGAGTAACGATTTAGGGTTTCACTCCTGTAACACTGACTTCTGAAAAAAAGGAAAAAAAATAAAATACAGCAGAACAAAAGATATCATTTGTATTTCCCACCTATTGCACTGCATGCTTTAGAAAATTACTTTGATTTATTTCTATGTGGGCCATTTTTTATAGGGATTTATTTATTTACAAGTCAATTCTAGATTTTAACCAACCCCTAAATGCAAGCATTCCTACAGATTCCTACATGCCTCGGGGCTTTAGAGTCTTGAGGGAATTAGGGCGGGCACACCAGCCTCGTTTAGTCCGGTTGAACAGAACCCTGTTAACGAGTGGTTTGCGTTGGTGTGACCGCCAGACTATAACTCTGGTGCGGACCAAACAACCACTCTCTGGTCTTCGAAGGGTGGTGTCTCAGACCGCTGTCAAGTGAACTCTGGAGCGATTCATTTCGGGTGTGAACACCATTCGAACCATTTATTCTCAGTTCCCAGAGAGGGTGCATAACAAGTTGTTGGAGGGACGTTTGTTTTTTTTCCATCCGCCGATTTTATGACCAATAATAAAAAGCAATTTCCACCACTTGGCTTTTGTTTACAATTTCTGGATCGTTTGAGTTTTTGCCTTTGTGAACGCAAACCGGCCCATTAAGAAAACTGAAACAATACATCATTCTCGTATTGTTCCGATTCAGGAACCAACCCATTGACCATCTATCACCTGAGTGTAACTATTACAATAGAGACATTTTTACTGCATGACTTCGGGCAGCACGCGCGCGTACACACTCTCAGCTATGCTCCCTTTCATTCTGACTAAGTTGTAATAGCTCGCTCTTATCACACTTTCGTTCACCGTTTAGTAGTGCAACCAAGGGTGCACACTTGGTAACCTAATTCTGTTTTAATTTGCGCACACATTCTCTCACACACACACACGTTTCGCTTACCATTTACTGAAGTGCATTGCATGTTCGCCCCGCCGTCTCTAAACACGAGCCTAACATTTTCCTCTGTTAAATAGCATGTTCTCGCGTGCTTTCACGGTCACGTGAACTGATATTTCTTGTTTGTTATATTCATTTATGCGGCAAATATCTTGTTCTGGTTGAAGGAAAATGTGTATGTAAATAGCCTATATAGATGCTCATGTTTAGCAATAAGAAGAGGTAAATGCTTTATTAAGTAAGAAAACGTGTGCATTGTATTTTCTTGTAATTATAAAGTTTAGTGGGAGGGGCTACTGGTTTTAATAGAGACTGGGGAAGTGAGTCTTGGCTTTGTTACAGAGAAAGGAACTTCCAGAGAAAGGAACTTCCAGATTGCCTATTGGATTGATTTTTTGTTATAATGTATGACTTCTTAAGGAACTCCCTTTTCTAATATTATGTAATCTTGCAGAGGCTGTATTGTTGCTTTTCATCGTTTTGCACTTTATTTTTAAAGTTTTATTTAATTTGCACCTTTTGGAGGCTGGCATAATAAATCACACTATTGTAATATTTTTCCAACTACCCCTGTGTTTCTCAATTTTTGAGTAGTTTGAACTAGAACCCTGTGACACAATGGCGTGGGGTAAATGTTTGGGGAAGCCAAGTGAGAGGGATGTCCTTTTTGGAACTATCTGTTATCAATACACACGCTGAAAGTTACATTTACCGAGGCGTATATTCACAAGCTCAATCAGAACACAATTAAAGACATTTAATTTAGTAGCAGCGGTGCTTCTATCAAATAGGCCTACATACTTCTTAATGCTTGGCCAAATGTTCATAACAAAACATTAACGTTACTGAAGACTAACAACCGAGTACCCGACCAACAGAGTATAAACAATGATTCAGGTAGCCTAACCTGGCCGGTGCTGTCTGTGGTGCTGATTATCTATGCGTACACAACCACAGTAAAAACAACAAGGTTACTTCAACTGACTATTCATTCGCCGCTAAATCCAGGCAAGCAAAGCAAAACAAACAATATAACGTTAACTACATCAAAAATCGCACAAATAGCTGCCATTCAGTTAAGTTCAGAGAGGTGACATTTCACTCACGCTATTTGAAAAGGAAGGCCATTCTCCGGTCTTTCATGGTGGCGAAGTGGTCAATAACCCGGTTATAGAACTTCCCACTGGCTTTTACGTTTTCCGCAACAAGAGTGTCAGTCGAAATTTGGCGCTACTAGCTAGCGTTATACAGATGATACACGGGGCAACTTCTTGAGCAATGTTGCTGAGCAACATTAGCCACTCTGTACGGATAGTTTTCTTCATTTAAAGTCCGAAACCCCTTTTTCCTCTCCAGGCCAGCTCCAGTTTTGGCGCTGGTCTTCCGTCAGATTTAATCTTAAATTGCAGATGTTGTGGTAGTTTAGTAAAACTATTATAACTAAAAATTCTAAATCTCTATATCTCCACCCTCCATAACTGTACCAGCTAAAGTTGCTAACTTTATTTTTTTGCTAAAGTTGCTAACAGCTCCCGTTATTTCATCTGAATGACGTTGATCGCATGCTGTGATTTCATTGGCGTGCCCTTGGCGTCATCCTGACTAATCACGGTTAGGCAGTGGCATGACCTCATCTGATTGGTTAATCATTAAAAGATTTTTCACAAACTGATAAAAACAGGGGAAATCTGGCTTCCATTGGCTTCTGGGAGAAAACACCACTGCTGTGACACTGTATTCTGGTCTGAAGTCCCAATGTAGGCTATGTAACCTTGAGTTACATGTGCATACATTAAAAGTAAAAAAATTTCTAAAGGCTTTTTGGCCTTTTGGGCAAGGTAAAGACCTCAGAGCAGAACCGCTGTTTTGTACAGAGGTGGTTCGGGATCTGATCGCAATGCCTCTATTTAGCATGTATAATCAGTATACAAACACGTAATACATGATTTATAACACTAATGTTACCCAGTATGCAAACAGGTACACCTCCTAAACAATGGTAACTATTAGACAATTTAAGTGGCAACACTTCAAAACATTACTATAACCTTGGACTTTTACCTTGGACGTATCTGTGCTTATTAATTATGGCTGAAAAACATTTCCTGTGACCATGTGTGACTTTGTCTTGAATATCACCTCATGAGGAAAGGTTTGCTGATGTGGCGGGTCTCCCATTACAATTATTTATGTCTAAAGTTTTTTTTCCCCTTAAATCATTTTTCTTTAAAAACAAATGAAAATACCTAAAGATTTTTAATATCAGTATACCATAAAACATTAGTGATAGACCTGGTCCACACACAAAAAAAACAAACACATAGTCTCACACTCACACACCTCTATTTACATTGCCTTCCACATTATACTCAGATATTTCACCTTCCGTTCTGAGTCGACTACGTTTGCTTTCTCTGGCTCCAGGGTGAGGTGGAGTCAAGAGTACTGTATGCATGATTCCTATTAAAACTATGCACACATGCACCTGTCCACACGCACACATTTTTAGGTACAGAATAGGTGGATATTTATCCCTAAGGTAAGGGCTAAGTGAACTGTACCAGACAACATTAATTCAGTTTTTAAAAAATAGCTGCACGTCCTAAAGATCTCTATCAAGTTTGGTTGATAGACAGTTGGTAAATTTGAAAACCATAGGATCTTTCATGCAAAATGCTTTTCTGCGCAACCAAAACCTCACAAGGAAGCATTTTGTTGCAACTGGTATCAAATTACAAAAGAGCTACACATAATAACATGGAAAGCTGTGACTACATTTCGGCGGAGCAAAAACTGAAAGAGCTCATAGGATGTCAGGATGATCTGTGGTTTAACTGTTGGGATTTTCTATGTACTTTGTTAAAACACTGAGAAAGTGCTAATGCCATGCCAACAAGCACAAAGCATCAAACCAGTTTTGGACGGTACACAGTATTTTCCAGTTTTGGAGAGGAACTGCTCTAACAGTCAGCTGAGCTAAATTAGGTCATGTGTGTTAAAAATACCCATCAACCTTTTTTCTACATGATAAACCATTACAATTGTCAAACCATATCCCCAAAACAACTCTAAATACATAAGTGTGGCACAGTCACATACCAGACACAAGTAGACATACAGGAATTAGCAGAGGAGCACCATTATGACAACACTGAAACAGTGTCACCACAGTAGCATTAGTAATATATACACTATACACAAACGACTGAAGAACTAAGACGCTCCAAACAATGACAGACTGGTAAAGACAGAAAGGCATTAGGAGATTAAACATGGTGATATCTGTCTGCCTTTGAGGTAGGTTGGGGGAACTAATGTGAAAATTCATTTAGGTTTATTCTTGATTTAGCGTATAGCTTTAACATTAAAGTACAAGATTAATGGCATTCAATCCATGTCCAGAGTCCAAATTTCAAGAAACTTCCTGCTGTGCAAGCTAGATATTGGATTTGTGTCTGTAAGCTCCCTAATCGCAATCTGAACGAATTTTAAAAACAAGTTTGACACAAAGACATGAAGTTGGCACCAGCCGCATAATCAAAACTGTTGGTCATGTATAACAAATTCTCACAAGTGGCACTTTATATTCACTAATGGGTGCATGGTTTGAAGGGAATTGTATAGATCTTTAGTCAACCTACTATAAAATCTAACAGGAAACTACAAGACTAATCAGGAAACAAAAAGAGAAAACAGTGGAACTGAGGATGCTAATGAACAAAACTTTGCTTACAAACGACCAATATTAGAATATATACCTGGTTTTGAAACCCTTAGTCATGAAAACTGGGCAAAATGAAAAGACGATAACACGTATTTTAGTAACCAATGAGAACCTTCAGAAGTTGCGGTCCTTGTTAGAGTTCTAAAAACAAGCAGAGTCTGGTTTTTGGATCATCCCATTAAAACGTTTATTACACATTAGCCATCAGCAAGTTTAAATTCATCACCACAGAAATGCATCCTCAAACATTACTCTGTAGCCTTCAGATTCATTGTGAAATCGACCCTGCAAATATAACGTGACCCAGCAGCGCCACCAGTTGTATACTGAACGGATACTGGATGCCATATTTCAGAATATGGAACTTCTATGAGAGGTGTAGTGATGTTAACATTAGCGGTGGGTTCTTCAAGTCTACTGGGGACTCCAGTTCCTAGGAAGAAGAAAAGATCATAAATGTTGTCCCCCTCAATTTATAAAAACATTCTAGCATTCATCTTAATAGTCTGAAAAGTCATAGCATACAAAATATACAGTCTTGCAACTTTTAGAGACCCATCTGATTGCTTAGTTTTCAAACATAGCTGCCAATTTTAGAATTGATCTCTCAGAATTAAGATATTCTGTATATTTAATAGGCCTAAAAGTTACTCTAGTGTGAGTCGCATGTCTATCAGAAACATTTGTGATTTGTCTCCCTAATAGGTCTTAAATTACAAATTCACTTGACAGGAAGCGATGTTGTGCTGCTATTTTTATTAACCTGGCAAGAGCTTTTGATACAGGAGTAGACCATTCCATCCTAGTGAACTGACCTCCAAAACAAAGAGCATGTGGTTTGGTAGGAAGAACACTCGCTCTAACCCTGGAGTAATTACTGTTGAGGGTGTGGAATTAGAGCAAGTAAAAACATACAAATACTTGGGAGTTTGCCTAGACACACAGTCTTACCCTCATCACACAACAAAGCTACAGGCAAGAGTCAAAGCCAGACTGGGATTTCTAATCTCATCATTCACCCAACCCGCTAAACTCACCCAGATTCAGATGACTATATTACCCATGCTAGATTTTAGTGATGTAATTTATGTCTGCAGGTAAGGGTCTTCCTTCAGTGGTGAGATGTTCTTTATCACTCAGCAATCTGATCCCCCCCAAGCTCATCCACAACACATCCCTGCAATCTGTACACCTCCATGAACAGCCATCACTTAATAATGCATTTATGGTTATTTACAAAATTATCTTAGGCCTAACTCAGGTCTCAGGTCAGGTCAGCGTCTACTTCATCCCTCCTGCTCAAATCCCTACAGTGAACACATTGCGTCGCACTACCTTTAAGTTCGCTGCACCCAACAACTGGAACCAACTACAACCAAACTCTCGTCACCACTGCCACTTTTAAAGGCAAAAATCACTGACTCATTTACAGAAAACTGTAACTACTTTATATGATGCTATGCGTTTCCATTTTGTTTGTTTTCATGTTGCCCTGCTGCCTTCTTGATCTTAATTATTTATTGTATCATCTACTGTCTGAATTGTCGTATGTTTTAGCCGGTTATGTTTCTTGTGGTCAGAGTTCTATTATAGTATATAGTATTGTTTTTTAAGGTTTATTGTTGGGAGTGTGTTGTCCTGTGTGTTTGGTATGCCATTTTATTTCATCCCAGTACCCATCCCCTACAGGAGACCTTTGTCTCCTGCCAGGCCATTATTGTAAATCAACTGTTCTTAGTTAACTTGCCTGGTAAAATAAAAGTTTCATAAAAATAAAATCCATATTTGTGACTGATAAATCATATTGTTCACCAATATTTCAGGTGTAAACTCATAGTTAGCAATTAACCAGATGGTTAAGTAAACAAACATTACTGGTTTATATTCAAGGTCATATTTTTTGGCTCTCCCTCTCCTTTATTAAGTTATATACTTTATTGTGCATGTAATAGGTTTGCAAAGTGAAAATGTCCAGAGTCCACCCCAAAGGGAGTTCCCATCTCCCACAGAAAACACTGCTCTGAACTGCCTGAAAACAGCTCATTTGTAGTCCAGCCGCTTCCCTTTGATCCCTGTGACGTCACAGCAAAATGCGCGTCATAATACTCGCCTACGGACTAGTCCGACACGCCCTCAAAAACACTGGTGGAAAAACACACTGAGCTGCAGCACACAGTGACAAGACGTCCACCTGCTGCCTCTCCTCTCCCTTCCAAACACTAGCTACCCTCCAGTCGATGGACATAAAGTTGTTACCGTGATGTAGCGAGAGCTCAGTTATAACTTTATGGATAAAGATACATTTGTTACAGATTAATAACTCCCCACTCTGAAACTCTTGCGCCAGTCCATGTGGCTAAGCTGGTAAGGGGAACATATACAGCTGAACTGAAGCCGTGTTTACCGGCTTCTCACGACCTGCCCTACTCCGCTTCAGATTGGCTAGTAGTCCTAACTAGGAACTGCGCATGTGCAACTCCCAACAAAGATCTTGTAGAGGCAAGATGCATCACTCCATAACTAAAAAGAAGGGCTCACACAGGGTGAAAAGAGGAGCTGCAGTAACGACAAAAAATATGGTGCTTTTAGAAAATGAAACCATGTAAACCTGTTCTGGTACCACCCCTAAATATTAGCACAATATGACCTCTTCAACTAAATTCAGAAATCTGTTCATTCATTCAAATTAATTATTAGTTGAATGAGGTTTTACCTCAGAGTCTGAATCATAGTTTTCACATGGGAGGCCCATGTTGGCCATCAGAGTTTCTTT